GGCGCGCCCGTGCGAGCTCTCGGTGCAGGACCTCAACGACCTGCTCTCGGACGGCAGCGGCTGCTACAGCCTCCCGAGCCAGCCCTGCAACGAGGTCACCCCCCGGATCTACGTGGGCAACGCGTGAGTCGCCCCCACTAGCCCCGCGCTCCGCCCACCCGAAAGCAGGGGCCGCGGACAAGAGCCGGTTCCGGAGCCCAGGAGGGGGTCCTGGGGCGAATCCTCCCCTGTGGGGTGGGCTGGGGTGGGGTAAGGGCCCCACCCTGGACCAGCAGTGACCTCCAGATCGCGGGGTGCACGGAGCCCGAGGGAGTGGGGGACGAGGAGGGGTGGGGGGGCGGGGCTGACTCGGTCCCCTCAGCGTTGGGCCGGAAGCTGCCATCGCTAGGTGCCCCGCCTCGGGGCGGGCGTGGTCCGGCTTCTATGTTCACTGACCAGGTGGCCCTCTGTCGCCTGCGGTCGGTCTTCTGCCCGCGCGTCATGTGACAGCTGCCTGGTTCGGCAATGAGGTCATCGCGCAGTCTGCCTTCGCTGCCATGGCAACGGGCTGACGTCACATGCGGGCTTGGAACTTTGGGTTTGCAAGCTTAGACCCCCGAGTGGAAAAATCCCTAGGCAGGGATCCAGAGCGCTAGGCCAGAGTGCCCTTGTCCTTTCCCCTGCCCTGGGGATGGGGTTTGATTTACATGGGATTCTAGAATGATCCATGCATGGTGAGCCTCCTAAGACCCTCTGCCTAGAAAAGGCTCCCAGTCTTCTTGCTCCCAGGAAATGCTCTTCTCATGTATTGCTTCCAAGTTCCTATTGCCCAAATGGGAACATTTCCCATGAGTCAAAGGACTAGTGAGACGTTCTCAGGAACAGGAGGGGGCTGGTGCCTGCTATTTCGGGAGGTGCTGACCAAAGCAAAGATCGAATTAGCGTGTGGGGACAGCCTGAGGAAGGCGTAGATTGGATTTTCCCCAGTCTCCGGAGGACAGCACCGACTCACAAAGCACTGCATGTTGGAAACCCAGAACTAGCCCCCTCCTCTCCTTTTAGCCTGGAGAAAATGGTGGTCAGGGGGAAGTTGAAGGGCTTGTGAGGGCAAGGGCCTCTTCTGGTCTACCCTCCTTGACTGCCCTGTAGGGTGGGTGGGTGGGTTGTCTCAGCCTGCTGGGTGACAGATCTTAACCATTCACTCACCGCGTGGAGCACCTCCTGTGTTTCAGGCACTGCACACTGCATCTTAGGGGTAGTGGTGATCATGGCGAATTCAGTGGCGACTGAATCGGGATTAGAGAAGCGAGGCGAACAGGCATGATTCTTCAAGCGAGTTACTTTGTGGTTGGGCTTTCTCTTGGCACTGCTTTACAATCATGTGAAGTGTCCCCCAATCTCAGCCAAAAGCTTGCAAACTTCTGAGTCCCCCCCATCCAACCACCCAGGCAGCAGCACATGGCCCTTAGCACAAGCCTGTCATTTTGGGTCATTTGCATGCTGGCAAGAGGCTGCTGTCACCACATCCCAGTGGGGATCAAGGCTGTGAACGGGCGGGGCTGGTGGTAGCCAGAGGTGTCCACCCCAGAAACCACACTCCTTCCCCAGGCAAGTCTGCTCTTGATTTGAAGGGTGGTGGTGGCATTAGCCAGGAAGATCCGCTGAGCCACTTCACCATACCCCCCTACCCCCGCACCCCGACCCCTGCCAGGAGCCCCTTTGGCCAGCCCAGGATTCGGGCCTTCTGGGGAAGAGATGGAGCCTGTGTGGCCCTGCTTTCTGGACTTGTGGATTTTGCACTTGGGGAGTAGGGGTGGGGTCCAGACAGCAGCACGGGTATCCTGACCTGTGTGAGCTTCACATCCTTCCTCTGTCCTGTGTCCTGTTGTCCTGTTGGGACCAGCCATCCTTCCTTCCTGCGGGGCTGCAGGGCGGGGCAATCCAGACCCTGTCCCGTCTAAGGGACAGTGGGGACTGCCGCTTGATCTAGGGAACTGCTGTCGATGGAATGACGGCCACCTGCCTGTGCTGATCCAGCAGTTCACAACTGCCTTGGTTCCGCCTGGTGGAGGGTGACACAGAGAGTCCACCCTGACGGTGGGGAGGGGGCTGCTGCACTTGCTGATCTAAGGAAGGACACAGCCTGCCTGGCATGTGACAATTTCCTTCTTCACTCATTCACCCACTCATTCATATTTACCTGCGCAGCGCTCCTGTAGTAGGTGCTGGGGCTACGGACCGGAAACAGCCAAGGCTTCTCTGGCCAGGAGCTCCCAGGCTGGACTTTGCCACCAGCCAGCCAGCCACCAGCAGAGTGTCCCACTAGTTCCCTCACACCAGACCCGTTGCCACGGAGCCTGGTCCCGCTCATAGCAAACCCCATGGCTGTCGTTTCTGTGGCCAGGGCTGACAGCCTCACTTTTCTCTTGCTAAGTGGCTGGTGGGCTTGAACCTCGGGCCTTTTTGGTTCCTTGTAAAATGCTTAACCCACCGCACCAGGAGGGCCTCTTGTTTGAATGGTCGCTAACACCTCGGAAGTGTCAGGCTCCGTCAGTGGACAAGAAGCTCCTTTCAGACTCAGAACAATTGGAAGACCCAGGTCAGTGGTTCTCAACCTTCCTCATGCCGCGCCCCTTTCACACAGTTCCTCGTGTATTATTTTCCTTGCTACTTCAGCACTGTCATTTTGCTACTGTTATGAATCGGGTGACCCCCGTGAAAGGGTCATTTGACCCCCGTAGGGGTCTCGGCCCACAGGTTGAGAACCGCTGACCTAGGTAAACCCATCTCTCGGCCCCGTTTTGGTGGAGAGGGAAACAGAAGCACGGCAAAGTTGAATACCTTCCATGAGGCTGACTGGCCGCTAAGTGGCTGAGCTGGACGCGGGCCCCGGGGCGGTCCAGCTCCAGGGGCCATGTTTAGCCCCCACTATATTGGAGGATGAGAGCCATGATGCCAAATGAATGGAGAGGAGATTGGGGCGCCCTGCAGAGGGGTGAAAGACGAGTGGGGTGCAGGTTTGCCGGGATCGTTGGGGAAGGGACTCCAGACGGAGGGCATGACAGGCCCGGACTATTTGGAGGAGGTGCCGGTTATGAGATACGGGCCATGAGATGAGGCGGGAGGGGAGAAGCTGGCAGGGCCTGGGCCATGGAGAGGCTCCTTGCTTTGCTCCGACCCTTGGCTTCCTTGGCGTTCTCCCCAGTGTCTTCCCACTGCGGCTGCCAAGTGGTCTATGTATCATCCCCTGTGCTGCCGCCTCTCCAGGTCCGTGGCTCAAGACATCCCCAAGCTGCAGAAACTGGGCATCACCCACGTCCTGAACGCTGCCGAGGGCAGATCCTTCATGCATGTCAACACCAATGCCAGCTTCTACCAGGACTCCGGCATCACCTACTTGGGCATCAAGGCCAATGACACGCAGGAGTTCAACCTCAGCGCCTTCTTCGAAAAGGCCGCAGACTTCATTGACCAGGCTCTGGCACAAAAGAATGGTCAGTGGCCTGCTGCCCAAAGGGGGAGGCGGGGGATGAGGTGGCTTTGACTGGACTGTCCTAGAAAACAGACCCACACTGGCTTCCACTAGGAAACCCCCTGGCTTCCCTTCTCTTGGAGGATGAGAGCGTTGGGCCAGCCCCTGCTCCCTGAGCTGGCTGTCACCCTTGATGGCAGTCCCGGGGTCCTTGTATTTGATTCAGTTTTGCCTGAAGGTTGCTTTGTAACCTTTTATAAAGGGCTTCCTGGCTTCCTGCAGTCTCTGAGTATAAAGCCCGGCTAAGTGGAGCTGCAGCGGCAGTTCGGGGCCTTCTGGGAGAGAAATACTAGCAGGGTGGGCAGTGGCTGAGCAGCTGGGTGCTGGTCTTTCCTGTTTGTAGCTTGCTTCCCTCAGCTCCTCCCTTTTCCTGGTGCTCCTTCCCACAGCGGCTCCCTCCTCCCCACCCTAAGCTCTCTGGGGGTGTGACCCCACCCATTGAGGCCAGATAGACCTGGGCCCCCGACTAGTGGGTCTCTGCACTGATCCTGGGCTGAGCAGCCTCCTTGGCCCAATGATTTCCAGCCACCTTAGTGGATAGCTCTTGGCTCTCTGGGAGCCAGGGAGTCTGGAAGCTTTCCTGGTGGACCCTTCATGATCCTGCCCTTGTCACCCTCCATCCCAGCCCGCCCCACCAACTCCAGTGGCATTGAAACGCCCCCCTTAGGGTTTCTGAAACTGTACCTCTTTTTTTTTTTTTTTAACCACAGTGGGTGAGTTCAGCGCCAGACCCAAAAGGTGTCCCAGGGTCACAGTCTCTAGGGTTCTGCTGGGCTCTATCCAAACAGCAAGCCTGGTCTCTGTCATGATTTTGAGTTTTGATCCTTATTTTTCTTCCACTCGATCTCGGACCTTCTAATGCGACCCCTTTCAGAGCAGCTGGGCACCAGCTAGTTCTCCTGGTCTCAGGATGGTGGAGAGTGATGTGAGTCCACGGGGCTAATTTTTTTCTTGTGTCTTTGATTTTCCTCACTCTTATCTCTCCCAGCTGGGAGAGATCAATTGTTGCCCCTTAGCTGACTGCCCATGAGCTTTTATGACCCTGAGACTATTAATCTCGATGGGAGCGGACAGCCCCCATCTTTCTCCTTGGGAGCTGCTGGTGGGTTTGAACCCAACACTTAACTCACTGCACCACCAGGGTCCCCACCGTGAGGAGAGAAGGGTCAACTAGTTAATAGCCAGCAATAAGCCCAGGCTCACAGGATTTCACGTATTTGCATCCTCAACCCCTATGCCGACGAAGGAACTAAGCCATGGGGTCTTAAGAGATGACACGGCGTATCCCCAATAGCCAACTGGGAGAGGATGCTCTGATTGGAGGTCACAAGGTAGGCAAAGGCACAGAGATCGAAAGCAAGCCTGGGAAGGTCTGGGAGTCTTGGGAAGCTGGCCTTATAAGCCACTCCTAGGAGACTGGATTCTACCCCGTGCAGCTTGGCAGGTCCCATTGAGCAAGGGTTCAGAGGACCTCCCTGTGACATGCAGGCTTTTCTGGAGATGCCCCCCATCATCTCCTCTCCAGTGATTGCTTGGTTTGCTTGCAAAGTGCTGGGGTAAAAACAGACAGCCCTCCCTCCCCTCATGGAGCTGAGGGGAAAGTGGGAGCCCCTGAGCTTGGAGCTAGTTGGTCAGAATTACAGGGGTCCCAGGACCCCTGAACTTCCACGGGTGTCTGCAGCCTGAAGGAGTCACGGCAGTGCGGAGCCTGTGAGATTTGATGAACTCCAGGGGAATAAAGTCCGAAAAGCAGCCAGCTTCACCCTAGAAGAGTGGAGATGACTAGTGCCGGTCAGCGTGGGGAAAGACACACATCACACGCTACCATGAACATTCTGGTACATTTCTTGCCGTGACCATGTGTACGCATTCCTGCTGGGCAGGTGCCTGGGAGCGGGATTGCTGGGCCATTGCGGGAGGAGTGTGCTCAACTTTAGTAGGGCCGGTCACGACACGCCGTTTTCCAAAGTGGTCGTACCAGTCAGCACCCGCTTCCAGTCACGGAGTAAGAGTTCGGACACCACCCCTCGCTGCCTCCACAGCTTGTTTTCCATTCGGGCCACGCCGCTGCTCACGCAGTGGCCTTGGTCTTGTGGATTTCGTTGGCGTTTCTGGGAAGGGCTTCGTGGACCGGAGTTGGGAGGTGAGTGAATAGCCCGGTTCACACTGTCGCCCCCATCGCCTGCAGGCCGGGTCCTTGTCCACTGCCGCGAGGGTTACAGCCGCTCCCCGACTCTCGTCATCGCCTACCTCATGCTGCGGCAGAGGATGGACGTCAAGTCAGCCCTGAGCATCGTGAGGAAGAGCCGTGAGATTGGCCCCAATGATGGCTTCCTGGCCCAACTCTGCCACCTCAATGACAGGCTAGTCAAGGAGGGGAAATTGTAACCCGGGCCTTCTCCCGCCTCTCCCGCGGAGGCCGACAGGGGAGGCCCCGGGGGAGTGGCCCCAGCCGCCATGTTTAGGAATCACAGTGTACCCTACTCTTAGCATCACCAGCCACTTGCCACCGCCCCCCTCAGGAGCACATAAAGTCGCTGGCTGAGAAGCCGCCCTCTGCTCCCTGGTGTGTCTCCTTCCTGTACCTTGTGATGTTTTTCCCCAGTGGGGGCCCAGCGGGGTGGACCTGCGGCATGCTCCCGTCTCCCCAGTCACCCAGGACAGGAGCCCTGTGGACTCCCAGGGGCCCGTCATGACCTTCGTCCTCCTGCCGGGTTCCCGCTTGAGTCAGGACTCAAGGGAAGAAACTCTAACTCCGGGCCCCTCAATCCCGCCACACAGCTGAACCCCGATCTCACAGCCCGCCTCACCCTGCTCCCAGGTGGGGCCAATTCGCTAGTGGTGGCATGACTAAGGGTGTGCAGGGGGGTGTGGATCCGCAGTGACATTAGGGGGTGACACCAAAATGACGGTAGAAACGTGTGCAGTGTTTCAGCAGAAATTTTGGATTATTTTTTATAAAGCGATCCCTGTAATTAGTTATAACACACCAAAAACTTTCACCTGTATCAGTATACCTGCAAGGGTAAGATTCCATGCCAGTTTACTTGAACCTTCGAAGGGAGCCGTGGTAGGCTAGTGGACTGCACAGTGAACCACTAACCATAAGATCAGCCGTTCCAACCCCAGCAACTGCTCCACCTAAGAAAGAGGTCAAGTCTCAGAAACCCACGGGGGCAGTTCTAGCCTGTCCTAGAAGGTCGCTGTGAGTTCCAACCGACTGGGTAGCCGGGAGCCTTTGAATGGTTCCCAGTCAGAACTGTTGTTTTTACGCAATAATAATGATGCCTCGAACTACATGGTTTCATCTTGCACGCGCTATTTTAACCTAAAAGTGTCCTTGGAATCTAGCTAGTCTACGTCCCCACGATTGCCATGACTTCCGGTGACAGATGAGGAGTGCGATTAACATGTAACATGAGCACAAAGGGCCACTAAGGACATCATGTGGTCTGGTACGAAGGGGGGACATGCATGTGGAGGGTGGGGGGTCAAGTGTGGGGTACTGCTGCGGGCAGACACCGACCCCATTGACACCGCTGGTCTGAAGCCAGTGGGGCAGGGACGACTGACTGCTAGTGGTCAGAGCATAGAAATGCCCAGAGAGACTCAAGGATTTCCTTAGGATTAAATATACCTGAACCGAGGCCTGCCGAGCAAACCAGTTCCCCTGTCCTCAGTCCACAGCGTATTGGCTGGCTCTCGGGAAGGCTTGAGTTCCGAGTGCCCGCGCCCGATTCCTCAACTTGAACCTGTTTCCTGGCGCATCCAATGCTTCAGGAGCAAAACCTTGGGCCTGGCTGTCGCTTGCTTTTATTAGAACACAGGGTGTTGAAGCCCGGCCTATTTAAAACCCCACCATTTGGAGAATTACAAGGGTTTTATGCTGAATTATAGTGTTGGCGGGCCCAAGCCACTTGCACGAACTGCTTTTTGTCTCGGTTGCTATTCTTAGACCCGAGGGCGGAAGTCAGCCAATTACAGCGTGTACCTGGGGGTGGGTGGGTGGGTGGTGTCTCGGGAGCAAGCAGCCAGAGGATGAGCAGGGAAACGAGTGGTCCCAGGCTCACCCCCTGCCCACTTACAGGTGGTTCTTGCCCTCCGGGGGGTCTGGGCAAGGACCCTGGAGCCTCGGGAGCAAAAGAGACTCATTGGGACAAAGTCCCAACAAAAGTACCCCTTTTAGGATTCAGCTTGGACGGCAGTTGGAATGTACTAGCACCTGTACTTGTGTGTGTGTGTTTGCGTGTGTACACATTTTTAGACTATAGAGAGAGTTTTGTGTGGAACGTGGCAATCTTGTTAGGGGGTTGCATGATTATCGCGATAGGAACTGACCCATAGCCGTTCCGCTTCAGAGCCCCCCAAGCAATGGTTCTCAACCTGTGGGTCGCAACCCCCTTGGGGGTCGAACGACCCTTTCTCAGAGGTCGCCCAATTTATCACAGCAGCAAAATGACAGTGATGAAGCAGCAGCGAAAATAATGTTATAGTTAGGGGGTCACCACCCCACGAGGAACTGTATGAAAGGGTTGGCAGTAGGAAGGTTGAGAGCCACTGCCCTAAAGGTAGCGGGGTGGTCCTCGGGCGTACCCCCATGCTTAGCCGAGAAGGAGCGGATAAGAACCGATGGAATGAGCAAAGGAGCGGATAAGAACCGATGGAATGAGCAGCGCACACACCTACCTGCAGGGTGTGTGGGCCATTGTTTGGCTCAGTGTGCTACGCCCACAGGAGCCTGAATTTGCAGGTGGCCCACTTGCAAGGGGTTGCTAAGGAGTCTTACTGAAGTGAAAAAGCGGGGACTTTTGCTGGGTGTTTGAAATTCCCGTTTAGATGTAAATCCATGTCAAGACGGGAACCGTGCCTTTTTCAAAGTTTACCAGGGAAGCGCCCTCTGGGGAAAGGAGGCTGGGCTGAGCCAGGCACGGACTGGTTTTCAGGCTTTGCTCAGAGGTTCTTGGGTTCTTGGATCTCCTCAGCAGCCTCGCTGCCACAGGAGGGACACACTCCTTCCCTAAAGAAACGGGGTCCTGTCTCTCCTCTTTGTCCTAGAGACTGAGGTGTCTGGAGAGACATAGCCATTGCAAAACTGTGTACCTCACCTGACAGCCCTCAGATAACTGTCTCATGTCACCGGATTCGATCCTCTCAATAACCTCGTGACGTGGATGATGAACTTCAAAGCAGCAGCAGCAGCGGTGGCAGCTGGGGTTCAGAATAATGGAGGACGGGACCCTGGGTGCCAGGCTGCAGGGAAACAGAGCTGAAGCCAGACTTCGGTCTGCTGCTCTCTGAGGCCCAGTGCTTCCTTTCAGACCGGGCTCTGCCTCTCACCATCCAGCACGATGCCGACTGGGAGGTTGGTGGGTTGAACGCACTGGCTGCTCAGCAGGAGAAAGATGTAACTGCCCGCTCCTTCTCAGGATGGACAGCCTTGACCAGTTATGTGCTGCCCTACAGGGTCGCTATGTGTTGGAATCACCAGAAAGGCTCTGGGTTTGGCTTGGGGTTCTTCCTCAATACTTGAGTCCCTACCCCGACCCCAGGTGTATCAGGTGGGTCCCACATGCCCTTGACGCAGCCCAGGTGCCCAGGCTGCTTGGAAGAAGACAGACAGCAGAAGTGCCACACACTCAGTTCTGTGCCTGGAGATGGAGGGCAAACCCTCCGGATCCCTGGGCCAGAGCAGGTGGCTCGTCTTCCTCATGGAGTGTATCCCTCCTCAGGCAGCGCCATCTGCTCCGTCGGGTGAAGCTCAGCTGCTGGGCGTCCCCTTCCACAGTAGGCAGGGGCCACCCATGTGGACAGTCACATCGACTTCATTGCATGCAATTGGTTGGTGCCGCCGAGACTGGCTTTGAAAGGCTGTGTCTGGGTTAAGCAGGACCTCTCAAAGGCCTCTTTGTGGGGGTCTGTGGGAGACAGAGTTCTTGGGGGAATTACTGTCTTGGGGGCTACTTTTATGCCAACAGCGTGGGTTTCCTGTAGTTTCAGAGACCCCGGGTTTATTTCACGGGCTTGGCTGCTAGTTCTTTAAGTCACGTAAAGGGAGAGGGTGCAAGCCAATGCAGAAACAGCTGGCTCTGTGCTTTGGGCTGTTTTCTGCCCACTGGGAAGCGAGGGAGTGAGGACTCAGGGTGCACCCCCTCCCCTGATGGCCTTCTTTGACGAGGAGAGGGCATAATTAGAGGGCCTGATTGTCTTCCTCTGAATGCTCAGGCAGAGCAACTTCCCACAGGTTGGTTCCTGGAGTTGTCTTTGAAACCAGTGCCGTTTGAGAGCAGGGGCTCATCTAGACCAGGGGCGGGCAAACATTTAAAATGTATTCGAGAGCCATCATTATATTTTTATAATCAAGTGAAATCATCGTGGTCTGAAGACTAGCCTTTAAGATTTTTCAGTTTTACTTCAGAGCCACATGTTTGTATGAAAAGAGTCGCAGAGGGCTGGAGGACCGCCGTTTGCCGCCCCCTGCTGTCTATGCAGCAGGTTCCTGCTGGCATTGACTTGTCCAGATCTCTGTGAAGCCGGGAGCTCTGGTGGGGTAGTGGATTACAGGTTGAGCTGCTAACAGTCAGCAGTTCAAACCAGCAGCCACTCTGCGGGACAAAGTGGAGGCTTTCTACTCCCATAGAGTTTCAGCCTCTGAAACCCACAGGGGCAGCACCATCCTGCCTTCTAGGGTCCTTTTGAGACGGTTGGCATCCACTCCAGGGCATTGAGATGTAGTAATAACCTTGAAGCCAGCAGGTGGCGGTGTTGTACTTGCTGTGATGGATGGTTTGCAAAAAGCATGCTGGACCCTTCTGAATCACAAATTTATGTTAAGATGCTCCTGTTATAATAGAAATAAGCACTGATCTTATAGTATGAAGACATGCCCTGCTCATTTTCTTTGAGCTCATTGACAGTTTTTGTTTTGTTTTTTTTAATTTTTATTGGGGCTCATACAACTCATCACAATCCACACATCAATTGTGTAAACCACACTTACACATTCGTTGCCCCCATCACTCTCAAGACTCTTGCTTTCTGCTTGGGCTCCTGGAATCAGCTCCTCATTTTTCTTCCCCCTTCCCCCGCTGCCTGACATGCTCTGCTCTTGTGGGAAGATTTCTTTGTCGGGATCACTGGAGAACTAACAATGATGGTCCTTCCAGGTTCCGATTTGACCTTGATTGGAAAGAGGCTGTCTCAAATTGAGATAGGCTGGAAGGATAATGTGGGTCCCCGCTTACCACCTGCCACAACGTGATGGTGAAAGAGTGCTTTCCTGGCGGAGAACAGGGTGAAGGGTCTAACTGTTTTGAAAAAGAACAGCGTAATGTCTGTGGTATCACAGATCAGTGTGAGAACGCACAATTGTAACCAAAATAAATGTCTTGGGTGATACAGAAGTGGTCTGTTTGTCCTTCACATCACAGTGGATTTTCTTTTATAGGTTAATGCTTAGCGGCTTGTGTGATTGCTTTAACGGACAGTTTTTCTACAGATCTACAAATGAGCCCTCCTGAGCTAGGGAAGGTTCCTTGACAATTAAAATTGTGCTGTAAATA